AGTAGAAGGAAAAATGGATTCAATAAAATTTCAGCACATTTGGGATGGTAACTTGATGCCATCTGTGAAAAATCTGAAGTTAAACACACCTCAAAATCCACGGGGGATTACATCAAGAGGCGTAAACTGAAGGTTTTGCCATGGCCTTCACAATCTCCTGACCTCAACATAATTGAAAATCTATGGATAGACCTTAAAAGAGCAGTGCGTGACAGACAGCCCAGAAATCTCAAAGAACTGGAAGACTTTTGTAAGGAAGAATGGGCAAAGATACCTCAAACAAGAATTGAAAGACTCTTGGCTGGCTACAAAAAGCGTTTACAAGCTGTGATACTTGCCAAAGGGGGCAGTACAAGATATTAACTCTGCAGGGTGCCCAAACTTTTGTAGAAGCCATTTTTTTGTTTTCTGTTATTTTGAAAGTGTAAATGATGGAAATAAAATCTAACTTTTGTTGACATATTATAAGAATGTTTAATCTGTAATTTGATGCCTTTTGGAGATTTTTCCATCTTTCCTTGGCTTCTTTATGCACAGTAATACAAATTTTTAGCTGGGGTGCCCAAACTTTCGATCTCCACTGTATATATATATATATATATATATATATATATATATATATATAGTGAAGAGTTGCTGTAATAAACTTAACTGACTGCCTCAGTTCTTTTTTAAGTCTACCGGTATAATATAGGGAGTAAGCCTGGTCCACTAAGGAGTTGGGGTACTCCTTATTCAAAAAACACTTTAACTACTTGAACATTGGAAGATTTTACCCCTTTCATGACCAGGTCATATTTTGCTATTCAGCACTGTGCTACTTTAACTGGCAATTGCGTGGTCATGCAATACTGTACATAAATTAAGTTTTATTCACACAAATATAGCTTTCTTTTGGTGGTATTTGATCACCACTGGAATTTTTATTTTCTGCGACAGAAATTTAAAAAACACAGAAAAATGTGAAAGAAATAACAATATTTTCTACTGTTTTTTAAATAAAACGTATTCAATAAAATCACATTTTATCAAAAATTTAGGCCAAAATGTATTTTGCTACATGTCTCTGGTAAGAAAAATCCCAATAAGTGAATATTAATTGGTTTGAATGAAAGTTATAGCGTCTACAACCTATGGAATATATTTGAAAATTGATCAGTTCTGATATACTGGCTGTCTAGTTAATTTCTTGCTGCCCTAAAAATTTTTTTTCAAAATGTCTTTTTACATACCGTCAATACCATCACCAGTTCAGTACAACATCATCATTTGACTGAAGTGGTGTTGATCAGGGACACTGACTGGTGACAATATTTAAACAAAAATAATAATAACAATAATAATGGTATTCCATTTTTTTTCATATTAATTTTATTTTTTTATTTTTTACTGTTTTTTTTTTTTTACTTTCATCATAATAACAGTGTACTCCTCTGAGTGGGTGATCAGGAATTTAATAATTGTTTTGCCAGTTTGTTTGCTGTTACAATGAAGATCAAGATTTTAACTGTCCTGAATGGGTTACATTCATGACAGCTGTTATCACTAGTGATCTGTGATTGGCTACAGCTGATCACATGGTACAGGGTGCTGTGAGTGGCCTAGGTAAAATGTGACAGCTAGCATTCACTAGGAAGCAGCAGAAGCAGCAGACTGTGTAACCCTAGCCGGAGCAGGCCAGATGACTTACATGATCTGGCCTGTCCGTGCAGTTCTGTCTTAAGTGACAGAACTGGCTTTTAGGAATGTTTTTGATACACCGCGGATGATCCCTGTTCCTTTTTCCACTGAAGGGTATGTATCAGCATCGGAAACCACTCTGTAAGACCTGTACTTTTGTGCATCATGGACACAAGGAATTTTCTGTTAAAGGGAAGGCATATAACATTAATGAGTTTGATAACTGTTCATCTGACTTGTGATCTATTGTCCAGTCTGTCCCCGTGGGTTACATTATGTGTGGGCAGAACAATTAGACCACTTAGAAAAAGATTTGACAAACATTGCTGTTTTATTGAGGAGGGTAAAGAAAAGCAGAGTGTTTCCCATCATTTCGTGGAATACCACAATAAATCCACCCAGTGTCTGGATAACTGAAGCTATGCCAAAGAAATCTCCCTGCTGCTAAGCGTTTTCACAGGTGTTCCATGGTGATACCAGAGAGAAAGACACCCATGCGAGCCACTGTTCCGAAGACCTACAGAGTGGACCATGCGGTGATGAGTCCCACTGCTACAAGCAGCAGATTGAGATGAGCCTGTTTTACTGCTTTTAATTGTGATTATCCCTTTGGAATTCCCTTTAATAAATCTGGTCCATATCACACTTAGAGGCATGTTCCCTGCTTTTTGTTTCCTTCCTTTCAGATAGGATGTCTGTGATTGAAAACTTGGAGAACATTGAATGGAGGAAGAGGTAGAGAGGGGCACATCTGTGTTCATTCCAGTTTAGAAAATTGCAAAGCTCTAAAAAGAGTTTTTTTTTACAAGAGGTAAGGAAAATGTTGATTTATGTGAAAAAGGACTAAAGCTCCACCTGTTGGCTGAAAATGAGAATGCACCCTATTAATATGCAATATTTATTATTTATCTTATTTAAAAATCATTTTCATCCTGACCATAACGAGCTTGGTCCTCATATTCCTCCTGTACTGAAATGTATTGTAATTGTACTGTCTCCCTTATATTGTAAAGCACTGCGCAAACTGTTGGTACTATATAAATCCTGTATAATAATAATAATATACGGTGATAAAATAAATAGTGAATGTTCGTCATTCATATGCTTTATTTTAACATGCAAGTCACAGTAGTTATTGACATATATAATCTTTGGTTGATCATATTACATATTTGGGTTATCATTACCTTTCTCCTGACTGTGGACCTTTTATAATTACACATCGTCTGTACGTGTATTATTCATGTCTTTTTACATTCACTAATATTCTCTTTAGCTCTGCACTTTGTATTACTATAACAAAATATACACTCACCGGCCACTTTATTAGGTACTAAGTGACTATGAATGTGGAATGGTTGTCGGTGCCAGACAGGCTGGTCTGAGTATTTAAAAAACTGCTGATCTACTGGGATTTTCACGCACAACCATCTCTAGGGTTTACAGAGAATGGTCTGAAAAAGAGAAAATATCCAGTGAGCAGCAGTTGTGTGGACGAAAATGCCTTGTTGATGTCAGAGGTCAGAGGAGAATGGACAAACTGGCTGCTGCGACATTCAGATGGTAGAGTCAGAATTTGGCGTAAACACCATTAAAGTATGGATCCATCCTGCCTTGTATCAATGGTTCAAACTGGTGGTGGTGTAATGATGTGGGGGATTTTTAATTGGCACTAACAAGGTACCCAATAAAGTGGCCGGTGAGGGTATGTGTGTGTGTGTGTGTGTGTGTGTCTGTGTATATATTTGTGTGTATATACTGTATATCCTTTAATGTTGTAATTAAAACTGTTTAGCTGCAGTCATTAATTTATTTCAGGTACTTATATAGTGCCGTCAATTTACGCAGTGCTTTTACATATATATATTGTACATTCACATCAGTCCCTAACCCTCAAGGAGCGTACAATCTAAGGTCCCTAACTCACATTCATACGTACACATACTAGGACAATTTAGACAGGATCCAATTAACCTATTAGCATGTCTTTGGAGTGTGGGAGGAAACCGGAGTACCTGGAGGAAACCCACGCAGGCACAGGGGAAACATGCAAACTCCAAGCACTCCATTTAGCACATGAGTATTTGTCTTTCTTCATCAAACAATGTGTACCCACATCAATTAATTCACATAAACAGAAATAAGTATCATCCACTATTTTCAATTTTTGAAGGCCCAAAAATTTAATTATTAAATACCTGGAACTAAAATTAGAGTGAAAGGGTTATTGGGGGAAGACGGCTTCAAGCAACAACAAAAGTATATCTAAATACAAAACTTTGAGATCCTGTCTTCGATGGATCACCTCCCATTGACTTCAATGACATTTACATTAAAGTTTGAAATTTGCAGACTTTTCAATGATTTCACTGAACAGCTAGCACATTCACCCATCACTATTCTTCAAAAAGTGTTCAGGAAATCTGAAAGGGTGGGTCTTATACCTGTCATCGTCTATATTTTTTGCAAAGTATCAGTAACATTTCTGAACCATGCTGAGATCATGGTAAAATGGGCTTTGTCTCAATGCAACCATATATTTAGAAGACTTAGATAGCATTTATGGTTACTCAACTCGACATATTTTATAAAGCCCCATACCATACGTGTAATGGTTATGCGCATTAAGCACATGAACGCTGTAGGTGACAGCCATCTTGTCAGGTCTTAGCCATTTTTTTTCCATGAGCCCAGTGATCTTACCCTCTCCCTCCTCCTGCAAACTATAGAATTCATAGTCTTAACTTTTAACACACTTCAAAAGAGCCTGTTATTTCAACTTAGGGACATCAGACACCAGCACACAGGCCTTTGTCAGAGCTGTAAACCATTAATTGAGGCCTTGCAGGATGCCTGTTGCTATGGAACATAAAACACTCTACAGATTAACACTTCCCTCAGACCTGTCGTAAAACAATGACAAAATCCATCCGTTTTGTCACACATAATGTGTAGAGCAATTTAATTACTAGAAACATGTAGCATACCATAAAATGTCTACACAGAAAGCACTTCTCGGAGACCTCTGCCCAATTCGCAACTTAACAAAATCCACACACAATTCATAAAAACCAAGAGGACCAAGACATACAGTCAGGTCCATAAATATTGGGACATCGACACAATTCTAACATTTTTGGCTCTATATCCTAAAATTAAAGCTGACAGTCTGCAGTTAAAGCACATCTTGTTCGTTTCATTTCAAATCCATTGTGGTGGTGTATAGAGCCAAAAATTTTAGAATTGTGTTGAGGTCCCAATATTTAGGCACCTGACTGTATCAATATTAAGCACACTATATTGCCAAAAATATTAGGACACCCCTCCAAATCATTGTTTTATACACCTCCATGGCCACATGTGTATAAAGCTAACCACCTAGGCATGCAGACTGCTTCTACAAATATTTGTGAAATAATGGGTCACTCTCAGGAGCTCAGTAAATTCAACAGTAGTACCTTAATAGATTGCCACCTGTGCAATAAGCCCATCCGTGAAATTTCCTTGCTACTAAATATTCTACGGTCAACTGTTGGTGGTATTAAAACAAAGTGGAAGCAACTGGGAACAACAGCAACTCAGCCACAAAGGTAGGTGTTTTTACGTGGTAGACCATGTAAAATAACAGAGCCAGCACATGCTCATGCACACAGTCAGCAGAAGTCCCCAACTGTCGATAGCTAAATACTTCCAAACTTCATGTGGCCTTCAGATTAGCACAACAATGTGTAGAGAGCTTCATGAAATGGGTTTTCATGGCCAAACAGCTGCATCCAAGCCTATGTAAGGCTTGATGTACACCAAGTGCAATGCAAAGCATCAGATGCAGTGGCGTAAAACACGTTGCCACTGGACTTCAGAGCAGTGGAGACGTGTTCTCTGGAGTGACGAATAATGCTTCTCTGTCTGGCAATCCGATGGACATGTCTGAGTTGGGCAGGTTTCCAGGACAACAGTACTTTCCTGACTGCATTGTGCCAAGTATAAAGTTTGGTGGAGGGGGGGGATTATAGTGTGGGGCTGTTTTTCAGGGGTTGGGCTGGCCCCTTAGGGAACTTAGCATCAGCATACCAAGACATTTTGACCTCAACCCGATAGAACACCTTTGGGATGAATTAGAGTGGAGACTGTGAGCCAGGCCTTCTCGTCCAACATCAGTGCCTGACCCCACAAATGTGCTTCTGGAAGAATGGTCAAACATTCCCATAGACACACTCCTAAACCTTGTGGACAGCCTACCCAGAAGATTTGAAGCCGTTACAGCTGAAAAGGGTGGGCCAACCCAATATTGAACTCTACTGACTAAGACTGGGATGTCATTAAAGTTCATATGCGTGTAAAGGCAGGAGTCCCAATACTTTTGGCATTATAGTGTATATATTTGAAAGGGGAATATCATACTGGACAAATCAAGGTCATACATAACTAAGCTAGCACATATGAAAGGGGAGAAAGCAGTCTCCTCCCTCCTTGGTGACAGACTCATCCAAAATACTTTGTGTTTGGTAACCCTGGACACAAAATATAATGTTGAACAATAATCTACTAGTTTCCGGAATACAACCTGCACATATTAGAAAATATTATTATTAGTATAAGACTGTGTATATGGGAGGGCCCAATACAGTCATAAACATAGTGACCTCCCAGCCACCACCCAACCAGGCAATTGGTCAGATGGTCTCTGTCAACACCCCTTTGATACAACAGAAAAAGGAAGTGTCAAGCCCCTCTGACAGCTGTTGTTTTCACATCAACCAAGGAACACCTAACCTGACATGAGAAAGCAGTTTGCGCCATTTTTGCTTGGACAATTGGACTCTGCTAAAACCAAGAACTTCACAAGTATTCTTTTTTAACTTTTTTAATTATCTGTTGCTTTATGGTTTCTTTTTTTGTAAATATTTTATTTGCACCATTTTGACCTTTTCATTTTAAACCCTATTTTAAAAAGTGTTAAAACTGTCTCTAAGGCTTTAATGCAAACTAAAGGATCTCTGTCTCTTGAAGAGTGCTACTGTATATGACAAATCTCTGAATACAACTGTCTATGCATTTATGGTTACTCAACTTGACATATTTCAGAAAGCTCCATAACATATGAATATAGAGGGGGTTAAAGATAATCTTAGATGTTATCATGGCAAAAGGTGTCCCCATGGAATATTTCTTCTCTATTCCTGTTCCTATGACAACTCAAAGTTTTAGTTTCCCCTCTGTGAGGCAATACAAATGGTCAGATTTAAGTGTCATTTCTGAACTAGGCTTCCATGGAAGGCAATACATTTGACAAAAAAAACAGTCCAGTTCAAAGTATATTTCCACTTTTGAAGCCAAATAGGATAACTAAATAAACCCAACTCCGTGCTATGTGTCAAATATAAAAACCTTAATACCACAGCTAGGGCTGCTGTTAGAAATGACAGGGCTCTGTACAGCCTAACTGCCAGGAACCCCACTAAAATATTAAAATGATATGTTGGTTAAATATACACTAAAATCATTATTATTGGACACAAACACTAACTAATTTACAAAATTCTGCTAAATCTAAACAAAAGCTGTACTGAGTTAATAAATAAAGCTCCGTGTATGAATGAGGTCTTGGGGCTTATTTTTTGTCACACATTTTTGAAAAATGAAAAAACTAAATAAAAAATACATTTTCGTTTTCTTTCTTCGTTTTCCAAAAACTTGGCTGCAGTTGCATTACACTACTAGAGCTAGTCACCTCACCAACTTGTTCGCCACTGAAATATTCTAGTGCTGCTGTCTAAAAGGTCAGCATCTACTAGTGCTTGCCAGATCACCAAATGGTAGTGCAGCTCTAGTATTTGCGCCTTGCTGCATATGAGCATAATCATGCATTACTAGTAAGATAACCATGCATTCCTGAAACCTGCTGACAAACCAAGGCTCTAGCCAATCACAGAACATTCTAGCAGGGGCACGCATATGCCTTCCACCAAACCAGGAAGTACACAGCGACATGCCTGTCTGTGCCGCCCATTCACAGTAAATCTACTGTGAGTGGGTCGGAAAGAGATTAAGCTGGCTGTACACTAGTAGAATTTCTTCCAAATGTCTTTTTTAAAATGTTCATTTGATTGTGTAATCATTAGTGGGGTCAAACCAGTGTTTATTTTGAAAAGCAGTGATGAGAAAATTCGAAGAAGCAGGATGGACAACATTTCACCAACAAACACATTCCTAACAGTGTATGTTGTTTTCGTTCAGGAAAGTTGATTCATTCCAAAATCAAATGTTACTTAAAAGCAAATGAGAACAAGCAAGTAAACAAATATACGAGGATGTTTGTATAAATGTTCATACAAGTCAGCTTTGGTCCTTTTCCTTTTATTCATTTCTTTTTCATTTATTTTATTTGATACTCTACTAGAGCTTGAGCTGCCTTTAACCCTTCTGGGGCCACTAACACATGTCAAACATCAGAAGCAGTGGGGGGTTTACACATTGTGACAGGCTTACTATCATCTGTCAGGTGAAGGTGATCTGGCTGCTATATAGATGCCTAATCGCTTCCATGAACCCTTAGTAATGTGCCCTCCATGTGACCCACTCACCATGTTTCCTAAGCTCCGCCATTATACCTGTGGGCCCTGGACCCCTATAGTGGGTGACTCCGTGTAAAAGGAGGGGAATAAGGAAAATTCCAATAGCGGATCTCCCCAGGCTAGGATCAACACAGATGCAATATGCATTACATCACTTTGGATTCATCTGTCCTAACTATGGCCAAGGGAGAAGCTAAAGGAGTGCACATCACACTCCATTTATTACATTTGTGTTTGTAATATACTGTGTTTCTGTGCCCTAAAATTAACTTTAGTGTATTTTTGGGGTAATATCATGTTACATAAAAATGCATGACCCATTTTATTCTCCTGTTCATTTTTTTTATCTGATCTTTAGGCCTAAAATAATTTTTTTAAAACGTTTATACAATAAGCGCAAAACTAGCTCAGGCAGTGAAAGGGTTAAAGGGTATATAAACCCTGGCTATTGCCAAACAAGTTCAAAAAATACTTGCTGACCTTGTCAAAATTGTATAGCTGATCAGTCTGCCTGTGTTATCTCAAGGAGTGTAATTGGTCTTATCTTGAACTACAAAACAATTACTGCTTATGTCGCAGAGCAAAAGAGGAGACTGGGAGAGATTCTGTAGTTTATTAAGAGATCAATGGGCAGGGCCGACGCCATTTATTTGGATTTCAGTTGAGTAAGGGCACAGGGTTGTCAGCTACAACAGAAAAATAGGAGCTGAGTACTTTGCTGTCAGATAAACTGTTTCCCAACCACCCTATAACAAAAATACTGCTACAGGATGGCAAGGGTGTGCAAAATCACGTACATATAAATGATTTTGCATCTGCCGGTAGGGGGCGTGCGCATGAGGTCAATCATCGGGTCCGGTGATTACTCGCTGGCGCCTGATGATTGCCAAGCATCTCCGACAAGGAGGAGAACTGTTAGTAAACAAAACAGTTCTCCCTGTCAGCTCGTGCACACTACTTTGGATGGCTGTGCACAGCACAGCCATGCAAAGCATTGTGCTTACAGTAAAGCACAAGGACACAGCACATAGTAAAACAGCACACAATTAACCCTTTGATCACCCCTCATGTTAACCCCTACCTGCCCAGTGCCATTAGAACAGTGTCAGTGCTTTTTTTTTAGCACTGATCACTGTAGTGGTGTCACTGGGGATGTCAGTGACACCAAGTAAGTTCCCCCCAGTGTCAGTATGCCCACCACAGTCCCATAGTCCCGCTATAAGTCGCTGATCACTGCAATTACCAGCAAAAAAAATTAAGAATTCCAGTATCTATACTACCATTTGTAAACACTATAACTTTCACGTAAACCAATTAATTTACACGTATTGGGATTTTGTTTAGCAAAGACATGTAGCAGAATACATTTTGGCCTAAATTTATGACATGTTTAATAGCAAAAAGTAAAAAATATAGTTTTTTTCTCAAAATTGTCTTTTTTGTTTTATAGCACAAAAAATTAAAAATGCACAGGGAATCAAATACCACCAAAAGAAAGAAAGCTCAATTAATGGGAAAAAAGGACATACATTTCATTTGGATGCAGCGTTGCATGACCGCGCAATTGTCAGTTAAAGTAACGCAGCGCCGTAACGCAAAAAATGGCCTGGTCAGGAAGGGGGTGAATCATCAGGAGGGCAAGTGGTTAACAGGTATTTTTGTGTACATTTTTGCAGGGTTTTTAAAGGGATCAAACCTGGGAAATGTGCATGCATCGCAGAGATGTATTGCATATTGTTTGCTTTTTAATTTTCTCTAGCTTTAACTGAAAATGACATTGCTGGTAGAGTTGGATTTATACATTTTGCCATTACAGCGGTTCTAAAGCATCCTTTCTGAAGCAGGGTGCCTCCAGGCTCCTTCAGAGGTGCCTTGGCAAAATGCCCAAAAAATGTATACAAGCCAGCAAGTGGATCTATCTTGCCATTTGACCTAACAAGCAATGACATCATCAGTTGATAAGGAGGACATTGGGTGCATGCAAAACATCCTTGTTTGTCCCTCCCCTGCCCCTCTCCGTCAGCACTGGAGGGAGAGAAAATGAGAGCGACACACTGGAATGCTGGTCAGTACCAGTGTGAAAAGGTGTATTTGGTTTGGAAGAATAAATCACCTCTGACTTTGGTTGTACTGGATGTGTGTAAAATAGTTTTTTTACATTTTAGATTGTGGTACCTTGAGATTATCCATAATTTTAAAGGGT